GTCCAACGGTTTCATCTTCTCTATCCCTGGTGTACTGTAATTTATTTCAGGAATGAGAATTTCATCAGTGACCTGATAAGAAAGACATTATAATCATCTTTACATGCTGCTGTCTTTTTTATTTGCATGTTATTTTATCTTCTGACATTTTTCAGTCTAACTTTAAATCAGCTATACATTTTCAATATTTTATGTTTGAATGATATCCTTAATTCTTCTCATATACAGGATAAAAACGCAGGAGAAAGTTCAGGAACCGAGCAATCCCTTTCAAGAAGTAATCTATAATAATATATACATTTCATATACAGTAAATGCCTTTCCTAGTACTGGTTTTCACATCTTAAAGTAGATATTCTTCAAATCACATCACTAATATCCAAAGGATTAACGTAAGTATCCGCAGAATTAACAGTCCATTTTCACTAGATGAACTTTCAAGTAAAAGATTGCCACTATGAATACACATAGTGAGAATAGATTAGCTCGAGGTAAGTTTAACTGCACTAAGTCCAGTGGAAGATAACGCTAAACGGTAGGAATGGTCGAACGGAAGATACAAAGGTAGGAACGCTTCGGCAGCCATCGACTCACAATAAGCATCCTGAACCGGAGCTTATCCTCGAATGCAGAAACGAAATCACATACAATCTTTACTCTGATGGTCCAAAGGCCAAATCCAGATTAATTCGATATCTTTCTCTAGTGACAACACACACAACTCAAAACTAGCTGTTCGTCAGCTAGCCTCCTCGTATGGCGGCATCAAATTGCACTGTTTGACGGTGATAAATATGATTTAAATAAAGTTCTGTTAATAATAAATTCCACTAATCCTGTTATTCAGTTTTGTAATCTTATGCTTTGTCAAAGCTACAAATGTACCCTTTATTTATCTATTTATTTTATTTTTTTAGCCCTTTTCTGGCCATGTATTTGTTGAACTTTGACTCAATAAATACTAGGCCCGGGCGGTTGGTGTGAACACGCTTCTGGGGGCTTCTTTGGTCTTTTGGACTGCCACCTGGATGGCCTGGTCGCTGGGTTTCGGTGTATGGTGCGAGGCGCCTGTGTGGCCCATCTGGCTCAAGATAGAGGTGGACGTGTTGCATACGCCAATTAACTATTACGGTAAAGGGATGGTGCACACGTCCCCCGTCAACTATCAACTATCAACTATCAGTCCACTGATCATCCTTTTCATTTTTTAACTTAAAACATACATTTCCCTTGCTTTCCTCGTCATCTTGGTCACATGAAACATATTTAACTTCAATACTATTGTATACTGTAAATCTTCATCTGTTCGTTTTCCAGCACATTTCAAATCCTGTTATTCGACCAAAGAAGCTGGCTTCTTTTTGTACCTTAGTTTACTGAGCACTCCAAGTTTTCTCCTCCAAGTTATCTCTTGATTTAGAACTAAGCTAATTAAGTGCAGTTACTACTAAGACAGGCTTTTTCATCTAGTATTCTTGATCAAGCAGTTAAAACATTTTATCTCAACGTAGTAAAAACACTTCCTTGTTTTAAGAGATTATTAGAAATCTGTAGTCATTCTTTTCTTGCTATCGATCATCTTTAAAATTTCACTGATTTTACACATTTTTAACTTTCGTGACGTTTTTTCTTCAATCAATAAAATTCACAGTTCCATACCTAAACAGTCCATTCCTGATATGAACTACTGGAAAACAGTATTTCTTGATAATGTTTTTTAATAGACTGTAGTCAGATTAAGAGAGGCATTTAAATTTCGCACTAAGGAGCGTGAGATATATGTCAGGAAAAAAGGAAAAAATAAATCATATTTTGCCCAATATTGTCACTCAAAAAAATTATTTTTAAAAAAACCTTTTTCTTTGGTGAATAAGATTTTCTTTCCTACTCATAAATATTTTCAGTTCTATTTATTGATCCAAATTTTAATATTCTTTGCCTTTCAAGGATATGTTTCATAGTTGTTTTTACCTTTTATCAATAAAATGGGGCTAGTACGTGATTGTTAGTACGTGAACACAGGCTTCTTCTTCAGCTCCTGTAGCTGAAAAAGGTCTATTCAAACCTTCGAAACTACTCCTGCAAATTTATACACGTTTTGTTGCTTTAGTATCTCCATTTGTTTCTTGGCGTGTTACTTTATTATATTTTCGTAAACACTTATAAAAGTAGTATAGTAGTTGAAGACCAAATGCCCACTTAGTGGGAAGAAGGATCTGTTTTTCCTATTTATAAAAAAGGAGACAAGCTAGAATGTTGTAATTACCTTACTGGATTCGGCATACAGAATTTTCTCCATTATCTTATATAAACGATTGCTGACATATACTTCTAATGTTATTGGGAATTACCAGTGTGGAGTCCAGAAGCGAAAAACAACAACTGATCAATTGCACTTTATTAGACAAATCTTGGAAAGAACTAAATATAACATCGACACCTACCACCTGTTTGTTGACTTTAAAGCTACCTATGACAGTATTAACAGAGAAAAATTACTTGAAACGGTGTTAGAATTTAATATTCCGAAGAAACTGATAAGCCTCACAGGACGACTCTTAAAAAAGTGATACGTAGAATAAAAATTTCAACATATCTTTCAGAACCATTTTATACTAAAAAAGGATTAAGACAAGGAGACTCACTATCTCGCCTGTTGTTTAATATAGCTCTAGAAAAGGCTATTATAAGAGTCTCTGGAATAAACACAAGTGAAACCATCTTTCACAAATCCATTCAACTGTTTTCTTTTGCCGATAAATAATATTGATATTATTGGGCGATCAAAACGAGCTGTGATCGAGGCATTTGTCTCGCTTGCAAATGCAGCAAGGAAGATGGGCCAAATCAGTGATGAATACAAAACTAAATTTATGATTGCATCTACTAAAACTTTTGATTTATCTTCCTTGAAGATAAACATTTGTACCTTTGAAACCGTAAAACAATTTAAATATCTGGGCACACTAATCACAAGTTGCAACGATATAAAAATTAAAATAAAAAATAGAATTATGGCTAATAAATGTTTCTACGGTCTTAAAAAACAACTTAAATCCAACTTAATGAACATAATAACTAAATTAAATTTATATAAAACTTTAATAAGACCTAATGCCCTTTACGGAAGTGAATGCTGAACACTTAACAGAATAGAGAAAGACCTGATATCAACTTTTGAAAAAAAAATCCTTAGAAAGACCTTTGGATCGGTACAACAAAATAGCATGTGCAGGATTCTCTATAATCATGAACCACATGGAAAATATAGGAAATATGGTGAAACTAATATTGTGAGAATCGTAAAGGCATCTCGTATCAGATGGCTGGGCCATGTGTTTAGATATGATGATGCATTTCCTACCAAAAAGATAACCTTTTCGAGAATTAAGGAAGTAAGACGAAGAGGAAGACCACTCACTAGATGGTTAGATGATGTCGAAGAGGATTTAAGGTTCATTGGAACTAACCGAGGAGAATTTAAAGTTCATTGGAGGGCTATTGCGCCGAATAGGGTCAGGTGGAGGAAACTTGGAGAGACTGCCTTGGCCTGTAACAGGCTATGGAGCTTATGAAGAAGAAGTTGTTGAAGAACAGGGGAGTCGCATGAATTAAAATATGTCTAATCTTTAACTAGTTCTTACATACTGAATCCTCTCTTAGATGATCATCCAGAACTCCAGACAATTTTGGTCTTCTAAGGAGGTGGTCACCTTAAGTAATACTCAATACCAATGTTTATTTACGTTCTTAGGAATGCTGCTCTTTATGCTTTCAGAAATAGCGTGAATAATTTAATTTTGTATCCTGTCGTTTAGTTAAAGTGCAATATTCCTTTTTTTATATTTGTATACGATGTTAAGGTTGTGCCATTTTTTAATCAAATTTAAAGAAATTTGCAGTAATCTACAAATTTTTTATAATTATCAAATATTTTTTTAAATCTGTAATAGCTATGCACTATAATCTCACACACATATTACATTATGTAATTTAACTATTTAATAACAGGTTGTCAGTACTTTTTATGAGTTTTGTATAAGGTTTGCAAAGTTGAAGAAATCTTACATTTATCACTTAATATTTTCACTTACGCGCACAGCACTTGTTTCATGTTTGGAATTACACATATAAGACAAACAAAAACTGATTATGACAGAACGGATAGATCTGCCACAATATGTTCAAGCTCGCTGAGACCTGCCACATATGAAATGGTATGTCTAATGTTCTTCCGAAAAAGTCAACCCAATGCTTTCAATTATTAGCTAAATCCTGTGGTCCATGTAGGAGAAATGTTTATAATTCTTACAAAATTATTCTTCTTTTTTCTTTATCATTTTAGCACTGAGACGCACAATCTACATAGCAAAATTTATTTTATGAATAAGAGACCTGCTTGAAAATTTACCATTATTTACAACAATTCTGAATTAAGAAATGGGTTATCTATCTGTATTTTGAGCTCCCGCCTCGTTCACTGAAGAACACTGTGGGGAAAGAAATGGGTACAGAAAGTTTACATAGAATTGAACGGCTTTGTGTTGGATACAATTTGCACACCCGCACCAGACGGCCCTCATACAATTATTCAAAACCTGTGGTATTTTTATGGGTTTTACGTATCGTAAATAAGAACTGTCATGTAAAAATACTCTACAGCTTTTTGTTTTAATATATCTTTTATAAGGAATTTTAAAATCAATGTATGTAATTTTATAAATTTTCTATATTTTTTGTTTTGTGAAGTTAATCACTTTGGTAAATGAACGAAATAAATAAACATGGAAATAAGTAAATATTAAAATCAGAAATGTGTCTGAAAGGACTGTTCTCTCTCTTCGTTTCAAATTACGGTTTAACCACAATGTTATTAAATTTCAAGAATTTCAAAACTATGGATTAAAATGCATTCTGAATCCTAATTTTTATAATTTTCTTCACTTCATTCTAAAAATGCCACTTTACTAAAATCGTGTCCTTTATGTTTCTCTTTCCAGAAACAGTGGATCGTGTAACAGTAAATTCTGCCTGTTGAGAGCAAGAAAGGTGACTCAACTGTTATTTTCCGGACGACAAGTTTTGACATGATAATTAAGATCTTTATGTTTCCTGTACGGTACACTGAATATTAATTCTCAGTTGTAATGTGGAATTATGATATAATTAATGTTAAGTATAAAGAACGTGTTCCAAGTATTCCTCTTTTCCTTTCTGTTTAATATGAACTTTCAACTAACTCTTTGCGTTAACTAATAAGTGTTGTAATCTGCGTTAACTAACAAATAACTAATAAGTGTTGTGCGGTGAATAAATGTTGTTTGTGTGTTAAAATGCAAGAAATATAAATGTATATAAATTACAAAACAAGTCAATTCATGATTCAGTTGTAGTTGAATAAATTCATCAAAAAGAAAAAAATTAAATATATCAGAAGCAAACATAATTTAAATATGTTGTTTTCAGTACAGTACGCTGTTAAGTGTGGCTTAAAGTTATTTATTTGGCCGAAAGAATAATGTATTCTCATATTAAAACGATCAGATTCCACTCATAAAAATATCCTCTGAAATGTGCTTACAACTCTCAAAACACAAACTGCTAGCAGGTGAAAAGTCTAAAAATTGTTTCTAGGATATATAAAATAAGAATATAAAATTAGTATTCATAACACGTATGTAATCGTTGGCTTAAGCAAAATGATGTTGCTAGAATTAACATTTAAAAACTAAGCCAATTTCTGATCCATTTCATGCGCAAAAAAATATCCACTTTAAAGCATATTGAAATGCTCATAGAAATTAAAATTAGCTTCAAAAAGGTCGAAACTTCAATATTTACCCGCATTCAACTAAATTTTTAACTGCAATTTACCATGAAAAGTTTGGAATATTTGCAATATATGTAAATGTCTATAACGTTAGACGTGTTTATTTATGAATTTTCAAGTACTTGCAACAAAAAATTTCAAACTTCGTAGATAATAGATTAAGTTCGAATGTAGAGCATAAATTTCATGTCTGTTTGATTTACCAAAAAATGTTTAAATATGGCTTCATAATGAGATCTTAAAATATTTAAAACATTAAGTTGTATTCAAATGTTTTCTCTTTCAGCGTAAAATTTACTACACAAATATAAAGCAAAATATTTTTTGTTAGTTTTTGTAACTAGGCACAAATATAAAGAAAACATTTTACGGTACTTACGTATTAACGCAACCAGGCCAAAATTCGCATAAATCGCCAAATTTGGCGACCCTACTTACGGCAACCCTACGTGTTATACGTAGTTTTGTAAAAAGAATTTATTTGTAAAAAGAAAAAATAACACTGGGCGTGTACTACCACAGCAATGGGTTTTCGGTGGAATTTGCCGAGAAAAGAAAGAGACTTTTTTGGTTACTGTACCTAATAGAAGCGCCGTTACCCTCATGGAAAAAATTTGCGAAAATATCAAGGAAGGAAGCATCATTTATTCGGATTGCTGGAAAGGATACAATACAAGTGAGTTCGAAAATGCTGGATTTCTGCATGGAACTATTAATCACAAATATAACTTTGTGGATCCCAACACGGGCGTTCACGCACAACATGTAGAGCGCATGTGGGGCTCAGTCAAATGGCGCAACAAAAAACAGAGAGGAACAGCCCGTCATCATCTTGACGCATACCTTATCGAATTTATATGGCGCCAAGCTCAAGCTGTTAATGGCGAAGACGGTTTTGCTAAAAGCAATAGCCAAAAGATTTCCGCCGAAAAAATAATTCTGCAACTTATTCAAATTCGAAACCGGAGGGGTTTAATTGCTATTTTATATTTTAAAACAAAATAATATAAAAAACTGTATTAAAAATTATCTGTAATTAATAAATGTACATTTTCTTTCTATTCATACTTTTTTACTCTAATTTACAAATCGCGTCAACCTGGTTGCGATAATACGTAAGTACCCATTTTACATTATATAGCCACATATGAATAACATACAATAGCTTTTCTAAAGTTATTGTATGTTATTCATAAACTATTACATATTATTATTTAAATGAGTAATATGTATAATGTATTATTACTTTAAAAGAATACTAACTATTATATACATTACCATTTAAATGAGTATAAACAGACGTTAATATTTAGTTTCTAAAAAATACGAATTATTTATCCACTCCTTCAGCTTTGGTCATCTGTATTTCATTCCAGAAAAGGCTATATTAAGCTGTTTCAAATAAAACATTTCATGAGGCCGTTTTGATATGTTAAGGGTATATTAAAGCCAAATTGTTAAGCTTCTAATAAATGAAAACTACAGTGAAACCTTTCACGGCGACCACCTCCGTCTCTGAAATTTATCATTTTTTAAAGTGAAAAAAAACTTTTAAGTATATATCAGAAGCAAGCATAATTTAAGTATGCTGTTAAGTGTGGCTTAAGTTACTTATTTGTCCGAAAGAATATGTATTCTCATATTAAAACGATCAGATTTGACTCATGAACGTATCCTCTAAAATGTATTTACGACTCTCATAACATTAATATCAAGTAAAAAAAAGTGCTAGCAAGTAAACCGTTTTGTTTCTGAGAACGAACATTTACAAATATCTTGAACATCATCGCAAATCGTGTTCTCTAAGGCGACCACATTTATAGAAGACAAAATCATCTGGATCTGTGGATGGTCTCCTTAAGAAGGTTTCACTGTACATAAATTTGGATTTCTTGCAATTATGATCACTTACAAAATTATAAATCTAATATGACAAAATACAGCTCTAAGGACGGAACCTGTAACAATAAATTGTTTCTTAATATTTGTTGAAGGAATTTCATAAGCAAAGAATGATCAATCAAATTATTTTTATAAGGTACATTGAATATCTCATGGTAATTTCCTCATTTTAAAAACGATGAAATTTCATGCTCGTTTCCATACAATTTTTAAATAGTATTTGGAAATAAAATCTCCGAGTTTGGAAAGGCAATTAGTGTGTTTCTGATTTCCTGGAATATGTTTCTCCTTGTGAATGAAATTCAGAAATTAAAACAAAACAAAAACTGCTACATTTTCAGAAAATTACAGTTGAAAAGTTCCCAATAGGGCAAACAAATGTTTCAAGAAATATAACAAATACTGCCAACTCCGGTTAACTAGCACACACCGAGGTAGTAATAAAAATATGTTACTACCCTAATTTGTGCTATTCAACAACTAAGAGGCTGTCTTAATTATACGAAATATGAGTTTTAAAACTCAAAAAGTGATAAGAGGCCAATCCAAAATTCTGAAGCGTTATGCATCATTTTTTGCTGTTGTTGTCTTGTCCATGATTGTCATGGAAGAATGGTTGCCAGAGCCTCAAGGAGGTTGGACTTCTATTTCACCCCCAATTTTGAGAGATGGCACCTCGTGGGGTGGTCTGAGTGTCCCACCCTCACACCTGCCAGAAACCACACGAGAGGACTTTCGGCTTCCATGTATTTGGAGTGCCCCCCATGCCGCAAAGACATTATACATTTACAAACATCCATGGCTTATCTGGGATTCGAACCCGGGCCCTTCGGTACCCCAGCTGGCTTCCCTAACCACTATACTGTCTGAACGGCAGTTATGCATCATTTATTAAAATGAATTAAACAACCAAAAAACAGCAAACTACGCATTCAGAGATCAAATATTTTCCTTGCTGTTTTTAAAGTGTTTCCATTGTCCATTCGCTCCGAAACGTTCCAGCATAAGAGTAATGTAGTAACGCATGCAGTAATGTTTTCAGCATAAGATTTCTCTCATATAGCACTCCAATCCGTAACTCTTAACTGAAATTTGGAGAATATATGGTATCTAAACGTGTAATATTTTTGTCAACAAAACATCATATATTCATCAGTATTCTTCCTCAGCGTTATTATTGCGGAATTTATGCACAATACTCTAAAAAAGGATTTTATTCAAGAGTGAACAAATCAACAGACTGACTTCATTACCTTCTTCACTAAGTGTACCCGTAATTAAGTGCAGAAAAATTCAAAAAGCTCGAAATGTGTTATTCTATACTCGTAAACATCCAATTAATGTTAATTATCTACCTTAAATAATAGATCTTAAAGCACAGAATTGGGAACTTCCTGATCAAACTATTAAGCGGAGGAAAATCACACTCGTTTTAAAGATTTTATTTTTCTTTTCTGTGCGCGAAATTATCATAAACTTAAAAAACCTAAACGTGGAAAAATTCCTTATTGTAATTTTTATAATGAAACTTTGAGAGCAGAAGAGAATAATTTATATAATTTCAGCAACTGCTAGAATTATGGTAGAAAACATTCCGTATATTAATGAAGCTTCTTCTACAATGTATTAATTCCTCTCAAACCGAAGACAAGGATTTAGAAAATAAGTTTACTTTAGATCATTGTAAAAATGTGTAAGTTGTCACTTTTGATGCTTGTGGTGGTTTTTTTTTTTTTTTTTTTTTTTTTTTTTTTTTTTTACATCTGTACTATTTCTTTTATAATTGATTTTTAATACTTCTATTGTTCAAACAGTACTGTAAATTTAAACCTTTAAGTAATACGACTATCCTTACATGTGCTTCTTGTATTAAGATATATGCAAGCGAATTTAATGTAACCTTAAATATGTGTTAAGTGAATTTTCTGTTAGATGGTATGTGGATGCCTGTACTATATGTAAAGTGTATAGTTATTGTAAATTCGTGTAACTGGACAACAGATCTGTTCGCACCTTCATGTACACCACTATGTATAAAGGATTTACTGTCATATTTGTGGATATAACATATATATATATATATTGAATAAACAGGAAAACTATGTTGTTAGAAGACAGAAATATCTGATATTTAAAATTATATGAGCACCGGCTGATGATTTCATGAATTATCTTACTCCATGTTACTGCATATCATACTGTAATTTTATCTGTACACCTGATTTAAATGTATGTAATTTATGAATAAAGGCACTTTGCTCTATGAATGCGTTAAATGTACGTAAAATCAGTTCATGAAAATCATATACGCACCAAAACTGAGATGCAATATAATAAATTGTTACATACAAGGAATATCTCTGGATTTCAAACTATACCATAGCAAATGAATTGCCCTCTTTAAGTGTAATGTCCTTTAATCAAAACTGAATAATGTTTTAAAAAGCACTTTCAAGCATTTTAAGACAAATATTTAATTACAGGGCAATAATGCTATAAACATAAAGAAACACACACTTATTTGCAGTTAAAAAATAATGATATGCTATAAAACGATCACAAAATACACTTTTCAATAAATTTAAAACAGAAGGGTCTGTTGATTATATTGAGTAGAAAATTATAAAAGTTGATAAACAAGATTACTACCTACGTACAACGGACACATATATTTATATCAGCATAATGCATTAGGACGGAATTCACAACATTTTAAAGCCCAAATGTGCCAGTTAATACTTCTTATTGTTGCAACTATTGCAAATTCACTCAATTTTTTCCCTTTATGGTTGTTATTATATCTTCAAATAAATCTTATATAATTTTTAATTAATTTTAGCTTCGGAAATCTACTCATTGCTTTAGTAATGATTAGGGAATTTGAATATCGTTGTTGTTATCAATTAAAAATTATTTACAAGACTATAGGCACACTCGAATATACCCAGTGAAACCCCATTTATTCGAATGGTACTTACGTATTAACGCAACCACAATGGTGCAATTTGGCGATTTTTTACAGACGAAAACGTAAAATTTACTTATCGACTACAAGTTGGTGATTTTTGCACATTTTTTAGAAAGATTACCAAACTATCGATATTTATTGTAAGTCAGTAAGTATTATCAACAAATGAAAGGACAATATACTTAAGCAATTTAAAATACAAATTTGAATTATTAAATAAGATTACGAGATCTATTAAAAAAATAAAATACATTCTTCTCCCGAAGTACACAGCAATCTCTTTTCACTTAAAAACATCAGATATTTGCGGAGACTTTCGGCTTCTTGCAACCTTCGGCAACAGCTACCGAGGAAACGCATTTTTCTCGTTGTTTCCTTTCGAAAATTTTTAAGCAAAATTCTGTATTTTTGCAGAAATTTTACCGCTGTT